TACAGAAATCCACACTCAGGAATTTATGTGTTTTGTAAGGAAAGAACTTTAGGAGAATTAAGGGCTAGATTATCTCGACCAGACTGACAGTATAAGCTAGCACTAACTAAAATAAGGACTTGATATTAATCGGCTGAATGAAATGGTTACAAGGATTTCTCTGAAAGAGATGAAATGAAAAGAGCTCGAAGAGCAGTTACAGAGTTTTCGTGTATCAGAAAGTGTAGAAGATGAAATGAAAAGAGCTCGAAGAACAGTTACAGAGTTTTCGTGTATCAGAAAGTGTAGAAGATGAACTAGCTTTAACTATCTGAGAGATTCAAAAAAATTTGTTGATGATGACGTATATGTTTATCTAACAATGATGGATAAAGAGAGGTTTAGGCCTGTTTTGGATGTAGACGTAATCAAATATTTGGAAATAAATCAGAGGAGAGAGCAACTTTCTAGAGTTGGTAGTTCATTTGGGGTGAATTATGAGGAACTGGTTTCAAATGGAAAGGTTGATGATAATGATGTAGTGCTGGGAGTTCTCTCGATTTGTCTCTCCCTAAACTCTCCGCTTTCTCTCTAGAAAAAAAAACTCAGAGCTGGTGTGATTGCCGGCGTCGTGCTTTTGTTTTTAGCTTTTCCTCTTTGTTTTTTTTCTCCCTTGCGAGCTATTGCCATCGGTGGTGTTCGTTTTCAGCAAAGGGTGTGTGATGGTGTTGGAGCTGTTCCGCGTTTAAGTGTCAGATCTACAAGATATGAAGCAGGTTTCTTTGGATCTGGCTGTTGTAGATGCTTCCATTCCCTCCATGCTCTTTTCCAATGGACTTATGGCTTGGTATCCATATCTCTTTGTGTTTCGGCTCCACTTCTGCTTCTGTCTCCTGCATTTTTGTGGATGGTCAGTATTGTTCTTTTAGATCCTTGGGAAGTTTGGAATTAGTTGTGTTCGTTTTGTCTAGGTTGTCTTCGATTAGCTTCTCTTTTCCGATTATGGCTTTTCTTAAAGGTTAGGCTCCTTTCACCGCCCTTAATTTAGTCAATAATCAGTTTTCTCCTCTAGTATGTTAGTTCAGTTCTTATAAGGCTAACCTCGTGTGGGGATGCAATGTTTTTGATTTGGGCTTTTTAAGTTGAAGATTAGGTGTGTAGAGATAGATTCCCGATTGTTATTTTTACCTTGATAGTTGCTCCTTGTAGATGCTGTCGAAGGGTCTTTTTGTTCGGCAGAGGGAACTTGATATCTTGAAGGTATTGGTACAAGACGGCATTCTGTTTGCCAAATCGCCATCTTCAGTGGAGTATCCTGCCTTTTGGATTAAAGACAGCACCCTCATGACAAGGAAATTCAGAAGCGCCCAGTAGAGGTCCCTTTACCTGGAAAATGCCGCCCCCGTCTAATGGCGACTTCAGGCGAACGAAGAGTGTGAACGAAGAGTGTGACCAGTAGAGCTCCCTCCACCTACCTTATTGCAACAGGCGAACGAAGAGTGTAACCAACTGGTCAACCAAGGAATCGTCTCAGCAACAAATTCACCATGGGCATGCAAAGCATTTTACGTCAACAACAGAGCAGAACAAGCAAGAGGGAAGCTCAGGCTAGTTATTGATTACAAGCCCTTGAACCAATACCTTCAAGATATCAATTTCCCTTTGCCAAACAAAAAGGCCCTTCTACAGCATCTACAAGGAGCAATAATATTTTCGAAGTTCGACCTCAAATCAGGGTTTTGGCAACTTGGAGTTCATCCAGAAGAGAGGTACAAGACGGCATTTCGTGTGCCAAATCGCCATCTTCAGTGCAGTGTCCTGCCTTTTGGATTAAAGACAGCACCCTCACTATTCCAGCAGGCGGTGCTAAGGATATTCAAGCCACTAATCGACACAGCTCTAATTTACATCGACGACATTATCTTATTTTCGTCAAGTACAACGGAGCATATTCAGACTCTCAGAAAGTTTAAATGCATTGTCAAGAAATTCGGAATTATGCTCTCAGCCCAAAAGATGATTATAGCCCAGCCCAACATCGACTTCCTTGGAATGAAGATTAACAACGGACAGATAACGCTTCAGTCTCATCTAGCTACAGCTCTTCTTGATTTTCCAGACGAAAATCTCACAAGGCGACAAGTCCAACAATTCCTTGGGGTAATCAATTATGTGAGCGACTTTATCCCGCAACTTTCGCAGTTGACACGACCACTCCAAAAGATGCTGACGAAGAATCCACCTCAATGGGCAAAACGATAAACAGAAGCAGTCAAAAGGCTAAAACTAGAGATACAGAAGCTACCACCTCTAAAGATTCCCTCTTCGGGAACACGCATTCTGCAGACTGATGCGAGTGACAAATATTGGGGAGCCATACTGTTCGAAGAGATAAATGGAAACCGTCAAATTTGTGGATATAAAAGCGGACACTTTAAAGATGCAGAGATGCATTATCACTTCACGTTCAAAGAGATCTTAGCGGTCAAAAAAGCTATCGAAAAGTTCGAGTTCCATCTGATTGGACATAAATTTTGCATCGAAATAGATATGTCTTCTTTCCCGAAGATGTTACAATTCAAACAAAAAATGGTCCCACACCAGCAGCTATTATGATGGAGAGAATGGTTTTCAAAATACGACTTCGAATCCTTCTATTTAAAGGGCAAAAAAAATATGCTTGCCGATATGCTCAGCAGAAACCCACCAAAGGAGATTCATCTAATGGCGACTTCATCAACTTCATCAAAAAGTTACTACGACTTCGAAGCCAACATGCCCGAAGACGCACATGAACTAATTAAAAGAAACTCTCTACACGAACATCTACAGCATATGATCTTCCACTATCAGTCAATCATCCTCTCCAAGCATGGTATCAACTGTCACAACATCGCACCAATGGGGATCCACCTGGACTATCCGTTCGCTCACCTCTAAAGGATCGAAAATTCTAACATGCCTGAAGAAGTTATGTGCTTCCTATGGTATCTATGCTCGGTCTTTACTATTGGCATCATGTTCAACATTGGTTGGTTATATCAATACATCAATGGCCAGCAAGGTCAAAAGGATTGTCTCTCGACTTTTTTAACGTGGTTTGCATCTTTCAACATCTGGAACGGAAAACTAAGAAGGTCAGCAAAAGCAACAATTTTACCATTCAAGCAACTAAGAGGTCAAAGAAGCCTCAATCCGTTATTCAACCCTCACACTATATATTTTTTCCACCGACCTGTTCAAATCGAACAAACTTCATGCTCTACCCACACTCATTCACCATAACGACTACAAAAGAGCAATCCGCCCAGACTTCAATATAAATGACAACAAACCTTACGAAGACTTTCAAACACACGCATTTCGCCTCAACAATGCCAGACAGACTTTCCCCATTACGTTCAACCCAAGATGGATCTACTATTCTGCTGACTACCAGATGAGCCTCGACGAAGATTTACAATATTTCATGATGAAACACGAAAGCATGGCGAATACTACGAAGGTCAAGAGGCAGATCAGTCCAGAGATAGTAAAACAAGAAGAAACATCTCAACAATGCGCACCGGAATATTTCCAAGACACACAACTCCCTGACGATTCCATGAATATTGACAAAATCAGGAAAATGTTCGACATCGACGTCAACACAGAGCCCGAAGAAAACTTTGAAGAACCAGAAGAAGAATACGAATGTCCAGGAGATCACTACGGTTGTTGCGACAAACATATCATTGAGTTCGAGATGGATCACTAAATGAAGTATCTCTATATACTTCATTATGTATAATTATGTAAGATTATAAACGTGTTTAAAATATATATGTAGTGATGTAGGCGCTTATGTTAGCGCATTAATAATGTAGGTGGCATTCCTGAAAAGAAATGGTATCAGTAGAGCTCCCTTTACCTGGAAAATACCGCCTCCGTCTGTCAACACGACTCTAATCAATACGATGCCAGAGGCTCCTGCAAAGAAATGGTATCAGTAGACCAGTATAGCTCCCTTTGCAGGAACCAGCATATCGCCTGTTCGACTTCGTTCACCGTAGCATATCGGAAGTGCCCAGTAGAGCTCCCTTTACCTGGAAACTACCGCCCCCGTCTGTTAACACGACTCTAGTCAATACGATGCCAGAGGTTCCTGCAAAGAAATGGTATCAGAGCCCGGTGCTGTCAGATTGATAGAAAGAATCATTGTTTATGACTGATTGTTTTGAATGTTCTGGAAAACACTTTCTCATCATGTCTACTTCAAATCCTTTGTCAATCGATTCTCCATTTTCAATTTCTACTTTACCAAAAAACAAAAGCTGTTCATCCTCTTCCAGTATAAATTCTCTTTACGAAATCGAGTATGTTCTGGGTGATCAACTACCCAAAACTACCCTTCCACTAGTGAATCCGTATGAATACTTTGCTAAAAAGCCCAGCGCTTTTTCTGTCAAAGGTGTTCGCGAGCTTATCAAACCATCTTCAAACAGAACAGTCATAGAGTATGTCCAATCAAGCAAATTCTCATCATGCCAAGTCCCAGCCACCGAAGAAGAACAATTCATCTCGCTCAACATTTCGGAAAATCTACCGAAGTTATGGCAACAACACGGATATACTCATCTTCACTTTGGAGTAGTGCGAATTGGTCTGACCCTACACGCTCGAAAAGGTCTAAAGTAGTAGCCCGAATAGCCTTAGTCGACTCAAGGCTAAAGTCATACGAACAAGCCTGCATCGGAATGGTTCAGACAACATTAAACGCAGGAACAGTGTTTGTCACACTATTTCCAAACTTTAATGTTTCACTGAAAGATCCGAATCTGCTACAAACGCTAAAGGTTCAATTACAACTGGTGGGAGCACCAATGCAAGAAAAGAGCATCATGGCGACCCTTCATCACCAGATCGTCTATCGAATCCAAGATCATGCGCTTGATCTTGCACTATCCTCATCTGATGAAGCCTTATACCTTGAAGTCACCTCGGCATCACAGGCACCAAATTCAATTCAGATTCCTTGTCAGATCTCTCGTGATGAACTACTCTGTCGACTACCAGAATCATGGGTAACCAGCTATGAGAAGCGCCATCAAGCAACTCAAACCCTGGTTCAAACATCAGAAGTCAGCTTCCATTCTCGAAATGATGGAACAACAGAGATCAAGTTCGAAAAACCAAGATCATCATCGTTTCGGAAGCAACTGTTCACTCAATTTGCCATATAAATTGACGAACACAAATTCCAAGCCCATTCAAAGCTGGAGCTCTACAACCTCTTTCTTTTGGTCAAGACGGATCAGTAGTCTACCCTTTCAAGGATGAAAACGGGCATCAATACTTTGATGTATGTTCTTGCACAGCTTGCACGGAAGAAATCCGCCGGAGACGAAGAAAAAAGAAAGATCCTCTTTACAAGAGATATCTCGAGGGCGATCCCACAGTTGGGCCGCTGGGCGATGACAAATATGACTTTATTATCCAATACTCAGAGAAAAGGGAAGAACCTCAAATCTTGATGATGCAAGCAAACAATTTCCCTCTACCTGAAGATTTCAGCAAAGACGGTATCACTCATAGTCCCAAAATCCTCATGAGAGCTGTCAACTCTACCGGACCTGACTAACTAAGTCAAGGAGAAAAGGTCCTCAATTGGCAAACTGAAAATTCCCTTGCACAAAATCAACTTCTGATAACCATAAATCAAAAGGTTGATCAACCCACTGATGGCTACAACAAAAGACTGATCAGCCTACAAAACTCAATAATGGAGATCTATGGCCGATTCAACAATCTTCACCAAGAGATGACAGCTATGGCACAACACATGATGGTTAATACGTCCAACTTCAGAAGCAAAGAAGCTGAGACAGCCAGCCTAAAAAACCAGCTAAAAGATCTCCAAAGATACCTAGAAAGCATGATTCATAACCAAAGTCAAGCAGATACATTCTTTAATCCTCTTGGAAGTATGCCATCAGGATTTCCTATGTATCAAGGATCTTACTCCCCATGATTTCTCTCTGGTTATCAAGAACCTCGGCCAAAGCCATCTCTCCCAGGTTTCCTATCATCCGACGAGGCTTTCACATCTCGATATGGCACACCATCGGCTAGCAACTTCAAAACAAAGCCAACTCGAGCGAAACCAAGAAGACAAAAGGAATCAGAATTCCTTGTCAATTCGACTACGAGACCAACTCTAATCTCTTCCTTAAGCCACAAATCTATTGAAGATTCAAAGAAAAAAGAGAAGGACATTGGGATAATCGAATTTTCGATGTCAAACCTACTCGATACTATCGGTCAAACTTCTAGAGAAACAGCGCCTAGACGACAAAATCAAGCACCTCAAGTCAGCTCAACGCATCCAATCGAGATGATTAGTCATTTCTCTGATACGAGTTCCAATAGCTACGACGATAGTTCAGACAAAGAGTCCTTCCCAAAGCAATTTGCCATCGGAGAAGGATCAACTGCCCCAAAAAGAGAACCAAACATAAATGAAGTCTTTTCGAGTGATGAAGAGATGAGTTACACACGCCCCAGAAATCAAGAAATACCACCAAAGCAATTCACTTAAAAAGTCATGATATTCACATTCAATGACATTCCCTTTGAAAAATGGAATGGCCGACTCGATGAATTTCATGCATGGATGACTTCTGAAGCCATCACATCACGCCTAGAGCTTGTCATTCAGCTGTTTACGGCACGACTATCCGGAGCTTTCAAAGAATGGTGGAATTCACTGGGTGAATACCGACAGCAGGAAGTCTATCAGACGACTATTCCATTACTTTTGGGAGAAATCCACAGAGAATTCATCGGTACGCCCACTCATCTCAAAGAACAACTACAAGAAGAGTTTATCTTGGAAAAGTGTTGTTTGCTCAAGAAGAAGGATCTAGCTAAACACTTTGAACGTTAAACATGAAGATACTATGCACTCAATGGTCTTAATAACCCAAGCTTGAAGCAAGTCTACCTTTCCTCCATAGACGATTACCTGAGTCAACAAACCAAGCTGTATATCAGAGACCAAAGACAAAAAATCGAAGAAATATCCATTGGTCAAATCCAACAATACGTCTTCCGAACACTCGACAAGCTTTGCAAGCAAAAGGAATTCTGGATGGAATTCATGGACAATCAAAGCAACTGTCCAAAATATGTGCCAGACCAGACCTATCAATAAAGTGTTCTAAATCCAAGAAGACTTGTTCATGTAAAACTCGAGGTAAATCTCGAAGATTTAGAAAACCGTTCCAAGGACGCTTTAACAAGTTCAGGCGTAAGCATTTCTTCAGAAAGAAACAAAGCTTCGAGAAGACAACGAGATGCTTTCTATGCTGTAAGGAAGGACACTTCGCAAAAAATTGTCCAAATAAGCCAAAGAAGAAGAAGCAATATCTCCTTAACTCGATATCCAGTATTGCACCAGATATCGACTTCGACAATCATGACCTTGAGTCTGTTCTATCATACGATAGTGAAGACAATGATGCCATCTGTGGATACTCAGATTCCGAGGTTTCATCCAAATCGTCATCCGAATAAGAAAATGAAGATTGTTGCTTTAAAATCACTAAAATTCCACGTCTCGATAGAGTTCAACCGCCACACTTGCCGGTCATGATCTTTGACCCACGAAGAAAAGAAGAACCAGTTCATGCTATCGCATTTATAGACACGGGAGCTCATTCATCTATAATGAATCCCAAAGTTCTTCCGTCTTCTATGTGGCTGCCGCACCAACAAGAGTTCCGAGTCACAAACGCTGGCTCGCTATCAGTTAGACTCAAGTCCAAACCAATAACCATAGAAGTCTTCCCATGATGTCAAGTTACAACAGAAGTTCTAGGATCTTCTGCGCCTGTAAAAGATCTAATCATGGGATGGGATACGTACTATGTGCTAAAGAAGAGATTCGATATCTCACTCGAGCCACGGGGAATGAAATGGAAGTCTTTCTACAAAGCCTTCACAACAATACCTCACATATTCTCACTTGAAGAAGCGGCACCTCCCGAATTCGACAAGATCAAAGAAGAAATCACAATAATCTCCTGTGCAGATTCTCATACTGATTTCCTTCAGAAGTGCAACAATCCACTATGGCTAAATTTGGAGTTCTTTGTGTCATTACCTTTCAAAGAAGATGTTCACACCACTCCGACAAAGGCGAGTCATGCAGGAATGCCACACTTCTCCATCTTTCCTAGTTGTTTCTAAAAATCTCCTACCTTTTCAATCTTGGTAGTTGATGTTGTATCTTCGGTTTCTATGCTCGTTAAAATTTTATGTTTCAACTGTTATGTTTCCCTTTTGTGGGACTTTTACTTTTACTGTTGAGATTTCTGATTCTAAGAATATTAAAGTTTTTCACCGACTTTTGTCTTGTTTCTTGTATTCTATAATATATTCAACCATATATCCAACTTTCTTATGAAATAAAATTTAGTGGAAAAAGTTATTTTTCTTTGTTGGCATCTCATGATAAAAAAAATCACAATGCTGTTTTGAATATGTATTTGTTTGATAAATAAAACAAATATAATCTTCACCGTATAATTCTAAAACAGAATATTAACCATTAGATTTCTATTAATACAAAAAAATAATTATGTCAGTAAACTTATTTTAGTTAAAATTTAAAATCAGAATTAATCAAAACAATTACCACCATTAAATTTAAGTTTTTTTTTCTATAAAAAAATAGTGACATCAGTAGTTTACAAAAATTATTTTGCTGTTATACATAGATACCTAATTTGGTTTTTTTTTTTTGTTTCTGATGGCTTAAAGTTCAGAGAAACCCAAGTTTAGTCTGAGACTTCTCATTGCTATCTAGAAAACAACGGTGATGAATATTTCTGAGTTGCAGAACTTTTTTCATCACCAATGAAAGAAGTTAGAATACGATTACACGCTTTTAAGTTTTAACATTGAACTTGAACTCAAACAAACGGTACCTATGACTTCAAAATTAGACAAGCTATTGATGCTGCAATAACTTGACATATTATCCAAAACAAACATGAAAGGTGAACATCCAAACTGATAAAACTGCAGTCTTACACAAATTCGTCAAACATTTCCACACCTAATAGTTTCCCGAATTTCGAAAAACTTCAAAGAGACATTTAAAGGGACAATCATGAAGAACAACAAGCAAAGGATCATTACCAAAATAGTTTGTAAAAAGCTAAACGCAACAATGTTCCACACGAACTAATTTCTAAACGGGATCTACATGAAAAAAGTATTCCACCTTACATCATCTAATAAGCCTCACATGCCACTCAAATTTTCCAAGTTCCAAAAACAGAACACCAAATGAATAATCCATTATGAGGTCTTACCGGTTACTAAAGCAATAAACCATCATGAAGAGAAAAAACCTTAAACTCCCTCGTCTCGTTCTCGGTTCCATTGCTCAATCCTCGCCCTCCTTTCCTCACTTCCTTCTCTCACAACTGGGCTTCTGCTCCGTCTCGGGCTTCCATGTCTCCTCCTTCCACCACCACCATCACGGTCATGCCTCTCTGACCTATCACTGCTTCGTTTCCCATTCCCATGTCGGTCACGGTCCCTATGCTCTCCTCTCTCCCGCTCTCTCTTGCGCCGAGGGCTTATACTCCTGCTCCTACTTCTGCTTCTGCTTCCCCTGCGGTAAGACCTCCGATACCTCCCAAACAATTTCCTCCTAAGCTCCCTCGAAATCTGCTTCACGTGCATAAAATTACAGTACCCACCACGGTTACAGTTATCTTCTTCGTACTGCCTGCAGGTAGCTTCCCTGAAATCCGTCACGGGAGAGAAATCCGCGATTATCGGACGGCCTGAGTAGTATCTCCCTTGCAGAGCCTGCAAAGCAGCAGCTGCTTGATCCTCTTCCTTAAACAGGACATAGACATTGCCAATCATGTGATCAGCGAGGTTGTCACAGACATTGAGACTCTCCACTTCACCAAATTTGTCGAGTTCTTCGAAAATGTCTTCGTAAAACTCCTCAAAGTGTTCTTGGATCTTGCTCGGGTCTAGTGGCTGACCCTGAGGGTCAACGCCGGGGGTTATCATGTCCGGTCTCTGGTACATGTTCGAGAGGAGGAGCGTCGGTGAGATGGTGGGACGGTTATGGAGCCGTGAGCACCGGTCACCGTGACGGCAAGCACCGATCTTGAAGTAAAAAGGGCAATTCACTCTGTCCTTTTCAGTACCAAAGATTGAAGCCAAATGTTCAGCCATGGCTTAAATCGTCACCTAAATCAAAGTGAAACACAAATTGTTCATCTACGCTCATCAAAACAGAATCAGGATATGATAAAATCAAAATATATGTAAGGATTCATAAGAAAAGTCACTAACAGAACGAGCGATAGCGATAGATTCGGATTTTCAGAATCAGATTGCTTCGAGAGAGACGAGAGCCTAAAATCGAAGATATATAAGCTAATAATCGAGAATCAGCGAGAGCCAACGAAATAGCAAATATGACCAACTCCATGAATAGATACGGATTCGTGACTAATTTCAAATCATCCAAGCGACAGAAAACTACCTAGAGATACCTAAACAGACCCAGTTTGAAATCACCCAAAGGCCAAAACAGTAGAAATTAGCACCTTAACCGGAGACAGAGATTGATCAGCGGATGAAGGGTATCGAAGATGAGTAGATTTCTCCGTTAAAGGCCTCGCCGACGAGGAGCTGCCGTTTCCGATCGCGATCTAGGGTTTGGTTTATTATATGTTTACGCGACTCGCTTGAGCCGGAGTGAGAGTGGTCCAAAAAGACAATGAGATATTAATAAGGCTCGATGTGCAAACAGACTATTCTATAGGGAGAACTAATAAAATAAAATATCATAGATTTGCATGATTGATTTGATCCGATTAGGGGTGCATAAAAATGGTAATAGATACGCAAACAATTTTACATTTTGAAAAAAAATATAAAAATGGAAATATTTTAAAAACATGTATATATAATATAAATATAAATATATATATATATATTAAATATCTAAATAATATTAAAATTAGAAATATTTAAATCAACTAAATTTAATACAGTATATACAAATTAATATCTAATATAAGATATTATAAAAACAAAATTAACTTAACGTAAATTATTTTGATTTTTTTATAATATTTTTACAATATCCTCTCTAATGTTCGGTATAAATTTTTCATTATCTGTCTTTGTTGTTTTTATATCATTTAAATCAATTTTAAAATTTGTGTTGTCGGTCTCTATATGTTCCATTATTTCAGCAAAATTATTATCTATAAAATTTAAAAATTTGATTAAATTATATAGTCTTATTATAGTTATTACCATTTTCTTTTGCATATAAATATTATATCTAAAAAACTTATAAAAAATCCTCAATTTCTTTTTTTAGACCCTAAATATTCTCTCAATAATAGAATATAAAGATACATGCCAACGATTTAACATCTCTTGCTTATTTCAAGGAGGAAACTATTTTCAAATTATGACATATGATATCAAACAGCTATGTTTATAGGAAGCAAGAAAACTTTGTTTATTTGAATAGTCAGAATCAATTACATAATACTTATCTTTTGGAGACAAATAAAATAAGATATTTACATTCAAATGTATTTTTAGACTTTCATATAACAAAAAAGCACTTACAACAATTGAGACACTTTTATAAGATTTTGGTATGGAAAAGGTCTCTTTTATCCTTTAAGTTGATTTGTTTGTAATTTTTTTTACCTATGCCAACAATATATTCTGACGGTTTTTATATTTATGTTTCGACGATGTTGTTTTCTTCTTTCTAAATTTTCGATTTGCTTAACATGCTTAGTATCTTCAAGTTTTCTCATATGCTCTCTCTGTTTCTTTTTTCCCGACATTCATAAACGCCGATCAATATCTAACAGGTTTTCTCTCTTTCTTCATCCATGTCACTTATCTGTACTTAATCAAAGATTCTCTTTATTATATTTTTTTGATCTTGTTAAAAAGAACCAAGAGATTTCTGGTTTCAAAATCGGAGCAAAACCCATATCTACTATTCTGCAATCCAGATATACTTCTTTGCAACCACTATAGACGTCTTAAGTTCTTCTTCTTCAATTGTAAAACCCAGATCTACTCCTCCTCAACCATCATACACGTTTCAGAGTTCTTCTTCTTAAACAGCAAAACCAGATTTACTCCTTCTCAACCACATACACGTCTCGAGGTTTGTCCATCAAGCAAGAACAGGCTAATACGAAATAAATGGACACCAATGCATGGACATGACCAAGTGGACACATAAGAATGAGTGAACATGTTCATGTGATGGAGAAGAAGAAGTGAAGGTTAGTAATTATACAGACATCTATATATATTTTTTTATTTGTATGTACAAAATCTAATGGACACTGCCACATGGACACAAGCTCATGGACATCATTAGTGGACACTCTTTCATGGACAATGGCACATAGACAGTAACTCTGAAATAAAAATCACTGAATACACTCTCTAGTGATTATATATATGCGAATATTGTCTAGTGGATATTGGCATGTGGACAAAATCATATAAAGAATCGATATGTAAACATTGATTTTTGTTTCTTGATTTGGTTTGATGTCCACCACACCCCACCAATTTTGTCCATGCGGATATTTCCTTATGGATGTTGTCATGTGGACAGAATCAGAAATAAGAATTGATCTTTAATCATCGATTATGGCTTTCTGATCAGGTTTGTTGTCCATCGCACACCATCCATTACCAATTTTCAATCCAAAGTTGTATATATTAGATGTTGTACACATCTTGGAACTTACTAATTGTAACAACAAAGTCACATTCATCATTCAATCTCCAACAATCATGTCCATGTGGATATTATCTTATAGATATTGTACTGGGGACATAATCAGGTGCAAAAATTTATCTTTAATCATCGATTTTGGCTTCTTGAGATCTTTTGTTATTCACCGCACCTTATCCAGCACTAATTGTCCATTATAAGTTAATATTGCCGTGTGGATATAATGAGATGCAAGAATCTATCTTCAATCATTGATTTTGGCTGCTTGATATGTTTTGTTCTCTACAACATCCCATCCATTATGATTATCACTTTGTATCCATCAAATCGCGTTGACATATAATCGATAAAATAGTATTCACCAAAAAAATCTGTCTACCTAAGCTAGATTTAACAATCTACCAACCAATTTGTATCCATCGAGCTGTGTGCAGGGATCCCGACCAAAGAAAAACGTAGCATATGCTCTCTATGGTATCGAGACAGTTCTTAGGTAAGATAAAAGCATGGATCCAAAAATTAGTGACACTAAAGATCACAGATTTGATAAGCTAGATACGTCCCGCAAAAGATAATGACTCATTGGTCCAAGAGATTAATCGAGAACGTACTTTATCAATCAGAGGCTCAAAATCAAGCTTGGTCAGCCCCTTAGTAGTTAGAGGCAGACCTAAGTACCGAATTGGTAAGGTACCAATAGAAATACCTGCAGTGGTTGCTGCAGCAGTGAGCCCTGAAGTATCCCGACCAGCAGCAAAATTAGAATACTTATTGGCAATTATGTGTAAACCAGAAAACCGGGCAAAGTCTTCATAACTCCTAAGACTCCTGAAAGAGAAGTAGAGGACCCGTCATTGAATACCAGAATATAATCAGCAAAACTTAAGTGAGTGAGCTTGATGTCCTTACACTTCGGATGGTACCCAAAAAGACCCTCCATGGCTGCCTGATTAAGCATTTTGGAGAGGACGTTAATCAATATTACATACAAATAAGGAGAGAGAGAGCAGCCTTGGTGAATATCCCTGGCACTAGAGAAGAAGCCCTTAAAATCACAAACAGAGAAGCTCGTTGTAGATATACAGATCTGGATCCAATGGATGAACTGATCTGGTAACCCCATTACCAGAAGCACCGAGGTTAAAAAGTTCCACTTAACAATGTCAAAAACTTTTAATATATCAAAATTCACATCACACCTTGCGGAGAGAGAGGTTTTATGATAGCCGTTTACCAATTCAGAAGCTAGGAGAATGTTTTCCAATAAGAGCCTTCCCTTGATGAAATTGCTCTGGTTTGGTTCTATGGCATCATGTAAGAGACATTTCAACCTCTTTGCCGAAATCTTGGATATGACCTTGTAGAGAAGATTGCAACAGGATATAGGGCGATGGTCTTTCATGGATGATGCTATTTCTGTCATTGGTATGAGGGGAGAATCGTTGATTTAACTCCTTTCGGCATGAACCCAAAGAGGAAAAAAGACTGCATTGCTACCACAAAATCTTTACCAATAACATGCCAGGCAGATATAAAGAACTCTTTTGTGAATCCATCTGGGCCTGTCACTTTGTCTCTGGTCAATGAGTGAAGAGCACTATGTATTTTAGCCTCGTTAATGGGAGCAACAAGTGTAGCCGCTGATGTACATGAACATCTATAAGTGAGCAAATTATGTAGCCTTGTGACTGTTAGATTACCAGATGCTTGTGAATCTGTCTGGAGGAACATTGAAAGTACGACACGGCTTAGTGCTTTATGTCTGAGAGTTTGGTTAAGGTCTCCCCCGCCTATGTAAGCAGTAGCTTGATGCCATTATTTTCCTGCTTATTGGCAACCACACGATGATAAAAAGAGGAGTTCTGATCCCCGAGTTGGAGCCACTTAATGCAAGAATGTTGCTTGTAGAACTATTCTTCCACATACGCCAGATGGTGCCACTTATCTGATGCTTTACTAGCCGCTGCCATAATAATTGCATCGGAGTTGAGGAGCACTTGTTGTTGTCTATCACAAAGTTTAGAGTAGGCCTTCTTGGTACGGTTGGATAGATTTCCATATTGAGTCCTCCTAAGCTCCCGGAGCTCAAATTTAAGAGCCTTAAGCTGTTTATAGAAACGATAAAGAGCTGCACGGGAGTGATAGAGAGGTGCATTTTCACTCCAATCTTGTGCCACTCCCGAATGAAACCTTGGTGATCAGTGAATAATTAAAAAACTTGAAAGGTTTACGAGTAACCAATGTATGTTGTGCCAATTGAATGAGGCATCTGGCATGATATGAAATGCCGCCAACTTTAAAGTTTGCAAATGATTGTGGAAAGCCATTAAGCCACTCACCATTTACTAACGCTCTATCTAGTTTCTTGCCAATAGATCTCCCGTTTTATTGTTCCACCAAGTAAATAAGGATCCCACAGCAAGAAGATCCAACAGGCTGCATTCAACAACTAGATTCTGAAATTGTCGCATCCCCAATTGATTAGTAGTTTGATCATATCCTCTCGAGTGCTCGCTGGAGGCTAGCACTTCATTAAAATCTAGTAGTCAAATCCACATGATAGATAAATGAGCATAGGCAGTTTGAGTGGCTCGCACATCTTCCCAAAGATATCGTTTATCAGTCTCAAAGTTTGAAGCGTAGACTGCAGAACACATAAAGACAGTACTCATTTCTCTTACCTGAATTGCACAAGTTACAATTTAAGCACTTTTATGCAGTAAAGTCACCTCCACTGAATCAGATCAGCAAAACCATATCCTTTCCTTAGTAATAGAGCTCAATCTCGGAAAATCAGATTTCATGATTCCCAAATGATGCTTCAGCTGTACTCTAGTTTCCACTATACAACCAAGAGTTGGCTTCTCATCCTGCGACCATTTCCTCAACACCTCATGTTTGTATGGTGAATTAAATCCAAGCATATTCCAAGCAAAAAAGCACATCATAGTTTACGGGAGGAAACATTTTTTCTTTGTAAATGGATCAACTTAAGGTCATTTCTACGAGCAACCTGCTTCTTTAGAGTTTTTAGCCCTCGGTTTACCTCTCTGCATTTTCTTGTGTTCACGAGTGTCCTCAGGTAGAAATACAGATCCCATTTATCTTCCACAACTTCACTCTCCTTATCTTCCTCAGTGGCATCGCCTGCTTTTGGTTCCTCCATATCATCAGAAATATTCGCCAAAACATCAAACCTAGAGGGTGAGTCATGTGAAACTTCAGTGGGAATTGGTGACTTAGCCACCCCCACCTTGTTAGGAGACTGTTGTTTCCCTACCACGGTAATCCATGAGAATTTTTATGCAGTATTAGTTTGGTATGTCTCCTCCATCATTTTGATTCTCTCCGTCACACTAACCAAGAAGGTTTCCAACTCATTGATCAGGTTCTCTACAACTTCGATTGCAGGGGAGCTAGCTAGGGATTTGCTCTGAAGAATACTGAACAATCTTTAGTTGGGTGACCCCATTTATGACATACATTACACCAAGGTGGGAGCCAAGGATAATTCACATCAATATGCACTTCTGTGCCATCCAAAGTAGTAAAGCAGATGTGCTCTGTTAGCTGTTTGTGGAGATCAACTTCCACCAAACTCCTCACCATATCCCAACGAGTACATCGTTCCATGGTCGGATGCAGTTTAACAAATTTCCCAGTAGTATTTGCTAAGAACTTTAAGCCATTGGTAGAGTAGAGATAGCTAGGTACTGACTTGAAATTAACTCAAAGTGGCATCGCCGAGATATCATGGGGGGAGGGGGGTGGGCAGTGTCATGGGTCCACTCGTTTATCACTAGCAGTACATCTGATATGTGCCAGTAGCGATGCTTAATCACTCTCGATCGAATCTGAGCATTATCGATTCGAATGAGTGAGTATTGTATTCTTCCCAATAAACTAAACATCAAATTTCAAAGGAGACCCGGAATAGACCAAATACGATTGTGATATCTCCTATATTTATACCATTTAAGACTGCATTTAGTTCATGTTTTGGTCTTCTTTTGCATGTTTTCTTTTGCTTTTGTCCTATTTTCCTTTGGTTTTAGACTTAGGTTGCATTTGGGTTGTAATTTACATTTTCTCTGCATAAGGGATGTTTTTAGGTACCTATGAAGCCTTTGAAGACATGGTGGGAGCTTGGGAATGGTTTAAGGAGTTGACCCAATCAAGGAGAAGCAAGAGGAGCCAAAGAGTGCATTTTGGAGTCAACATCGGGCTCTAATATCGAGCCTCCAGCTCCACACCCAGACATCAAGCTAGCCAGCAGGACATCAGGCACCCGAGGGAGCACATCGAGCATCCACATCGACCTGGACAGCTCGACATCCTCCTTTTCCCAGTCCACTTATTTACAACTTTGCCACTCTGCTAGGAACCCCTATAAATACTTAAAATCCCTAATTTTTGGGATCATGTTATTATCCAGCAATTCTTTCCTCTTTTGTTCTTAATCACACTTTGTAGTTTTGAATCTTTGCTTGATTTTTATATAAGTTTGCATTTATCTTTTTATTTTGTCTCCCTAATCATGATTAACTATCTCTTCTTCTTTGATTTGATGGTGATTAGTGAGTAGTTTTTTTAGGGATTTGAGATGTGTTAGGTTTAGGGAATTTGATGCTTAATCCATGATAGCTTAGTGTTAATTCTTCCATTTCCTTTCTTATTTGCTATGTTTAATACCTGATTAGCCCTAGCTAAATTGATTAGGATCATAGGCTCAAATTATGTCCACCAAGTGTCTGTTGAAATGCCTGAATTGCAAAGTAAAAGAATTGTTTATCCTAGCTCAAGAGATTGACTGTATAGGGAGTGATTTGGCAATATAGTATTGAATGAATGTCTTAATGCTTTCTTTTTATCATTTACCTAATGAGAATTAGTTCTTGACTTGATGATTAGTGAAGATATTAGTGCCAAGAGATTGGTTTAGTCATATAAATGAATTCTATGCACAAAGAATAGCATTATGTGAGTATTGTAAGCATCTTGGATTGAGTAGAGAGCTCCCTAATACCAATTATCCCATCTTAAGTCATGTCGTTTCCTTGTTCTTGCTTAATTTCAAATTTTGCCTTAGTGTTTGGTCTTTCCTTATTTAGTTTTGATTTGATGCTTGTTGCTTGCTCTTCTTGAGTGTTGGTTTCAAGTTTGCTTTGATCCTTTAGGCTGTTAGTTATATAAATCTTCTTGCCTGGCTTGAATTAGGACCTCTATCGCATTCTTACTGTTTTATACATACCCTTTTGGATTGATAAACTCAATGCTACAATGACTAGTGTAAGCTTGAGGATTGATATAGCATAAAAGCTTATATCAATTTGGTGCCGTTGCCATTAGGAGATTGCTTTGATCGGTAGGATTTGTAGAGATCTTGAGATCAAGCTCTTTTATTTTCGTTTTTGGTTACTAATTGCTCCTTTTGGTCTAAAATCTCTTTTGTGGGTACCAAAACACTTATTCTTAAGTGTCTTCAACTGCAACTGAGGTTCAAGGTTAAAGATTTTGGGTTCACAGCAGCATAAATCAGTGGTTGAATCATGGAAGAACATCCATGCTGCTGGTTTTTGTCTACAAGGTCCACAAGGTCTTCAAGGTCCACAAGGAATCCAAGGTTTACAAGAACAGCAAGGTATACATGGTTTAAAAGGAGCTTGGGGCATGAGAGGTCAAAGGCCAACAAGACCAATAGGTGCTGGAGATATACCATCTAGCTCTGCCTTAAGACAAGGTATCCTTCCACCTATGGAGAGTCATCACTATGAGAGAAAGAGCAGCATGATTGATATGGTTCAGGAAAAGAAGTTCTTTAGCTTACCTAATCAAGATCATCTTGAGCATTTGGACCATTTTGAGAGAGTTTGTGATATGACAAAGCTTAGTGGAGTTTCAGATGATGGATTCAAGCTCAGATTGTTCCCATTTTCTCTTGGAGATAGAGCTCAAATGTGGTTTTGATGTTTGATGTTTGGGAGATTGACTTCATGGGACTATTTCCCTCTTCTTATGGGAACAAGTACATCCTTGTAGCTGTGGATTATGTATAAAAATGGGTTGAAGCAGTATCTATTACAAAAAATGATGCAAAGGTTGTGCTGAAGCTCTTCAAGACAATCATTTTCCCAAGGTTTGGTGTTCCAAGATATGTTATAAGTGATGGAGGGAGCCACTTTATCAACAAGTTTTTTTAGAGCTTGCTGAGGAAGCATGGTGTTAAGCATAAGGTTGCTACTCCTTACCATCCTCAAACAAGTGGTCAAGTGGAGGTGTCAAACAGAGAGATCAAGGCTATCTTGGAGAAGACTGTTGGTATTACAAGGAAGGATTTGTTTCACAAGTTGTACGATGCTCTCTGGCCATATATAACAGCCTTCAAGACACCCATTAGAAGATCACCATTCTCACTTCTTTATGGTAAAGCTTTCCATCTTCCTGTGGAACTGGAGTACAAGGCCTTATGAGCAACAAAGCTGCTGAATTTTGACATCAAGACTGCTCAAGAAAAGACGCTCATCAACCTCCATGAGCTAGAAGAGAATCACCTAGAAGCATTTGAGAGCTCTAAGATCTACAAGGAAAGGACCAAATCCTTCCATGATAAGAAGATAAGACCTAAGGACTTTAAGGCAGGAGACAATGTGTTGCTTTTCAACTCAAGACTGAAGCTGTTTCCTGGAAAACTCAAGTCAAGATGGTCAGGAACTTTCAATATCAAAGAGGTATTGCCCTATGGAGCTGTTACTCTATTTGGCAAGGATGGAGAAGGTTTCACAGTGAATGGCCTGATAACAGCTTTTTTATCTAGGGTGAGCGAATGAAACAAGAGGTTATCATAACTCAAGCAGCACACAGTCGTAGTATAGCATGCAAGAGAAATCAATCCAACCTAGGAGCTAGAAAGTGCAATGAGAATGCAAGGATCGAGTAAAGCTAAGCAAATGGTGAACGATTTTGTAAAAATCCAAAAAACTAAATGCAATGACTAAATGCAAGGCTAAACTATTTTAAAATTACCAGAAACGAGTGAACTACCACGACGAACAAACAGAATGATTAAAATGCAAAGCTATGAATTTATAAAATTCGACTAGTGGATCGACCACTAGATCGAGCAACAACGATCGATCTCGTCTAAAAGTTCAAATGCAACGAAACTAATGACCAGGATGCAACAGGTAACAAGCGAATGACTAGCAAAGATGTAAGAATACTAAGAAAGAGGGTCTAGGGTTGAGATTCACGTTCAGGGGTTTTAAAGGTTCCAGCTTGGTTTGAAAACTCTAGATCTACTCACTTTGTGAGGTTCTCTAAGCCTTGAAAACAAAACAAGATCCACCCATGGCGTGTGGTATGGATCACTCCTTCACTCTCTCCTCCAGACCCATGGCGTTTGGCGGAAGAAGAGATTGAAGGGCAAGGAAATCAGATTTCAAACACGCGGCTTAACTAATCCCCTAAACTACCATGGCGTTTGGGAAAGGGTAACTAGTCTCTAGGATGCGATTTTCAGAGATCTCTAGATCCTGTCAAGGTAAGAGCTCTCTCTGATCATAAAGATCTTGGCGTGAGACTCTTTAAGCCTTAAGAACTCGACATCCTAGAAGAGAAAGCCACTAAGAACAAGAAAACACCAAACTTGAAAACCTTTTCGACCCCTTTGAATCCTCTCAACCCCCAAACCCGATTAAACTACTCACTACACATTAAGTAAACCAAGCAAAGCACGAAAGATGAAATGATAAACATGAAAAACGATGGATTAAACTTAAAACGATTCAAAGATTCAAGAACAAAGCTCAAGGTCTAACAATTACGTAATCGCCCTTGAACAGAGAGAAAAAGATGAAAAAATGATAAAGTGAAAATGTGTGTGGGAAAGCATGATCGCCGCCTTCCCAAAATAGGCCAAACAGCTCGATGGTCCCCCCTCGCTAGCGGCCAAAAACGGTTAAAGCACTGAGATCGACCTCGAGATCGAGCACCTCGCTCGATCATCTTCAGACATCGTGACTTCAGCTCGATCTGTGTGTCGATCTTCTTCGGTGGATCGAGTGCTTCGTTCGATCTTGGAATCGATCTTTGGAGGATCGAGTGGTTGACTCAATCCGACTCTCGATCTGCATGGCGTCATTTACGTCTGTACTCCTTGATCGGTCGCTTCACTCGATCTTCATCTCGATCAGTTCCCTTCGATAGGCTGGACTACTCGATCTTCTGGTCGATCTCATCTAGATCGCATCTAGATCGACCAGCCATGCTCGATCCTCCTATCGATCTCTGGTCCTTAGCAAGCATTCCTGAATTCTCCAAGTCCCACGAACTTCCTCACGAACCTCAGCACGTCCACGAACCTTCCAAGACTCCAAAGTAGCCGAAAACAACTTGTATGCGATGCAAAATGCAAGAAATATGCATATGCTGGTGCAAGAACACTCTAGGACCTAAAGTGATGCAAACTAACCTAAAATGCAATGTATATGCGTGAGAAACTAACTTATATGTATGCAAAATGCATGGAATATGCAGCTATATCAACTCCCTCAAACTTACCTTTTGCTTGCCCTCAAGCAAACAAAATTAAAGAAGGGAGAGAGGTTTTTAAAACGAACGGGGGTTTAAGCTTC